TGTTGCATACAGCAAATACTGAAATATGGTATTTTGGTGAAATTCTTCTCATGGAGTATCCTTGACCAGGCTAAACTCTGATTTCTGCACACATGGTATGTGGTATTTCAGTCCTGGAAGCCATAACTGAAAGCAGACTATTACTGGGCATAGTATGACTGCTTGTATTTGTATAGGCTTTTTACTTTCCAATCAGTTAGGTGACAAAAGTGCTAAATTAAAATTTAAAAACTAATCATGAAGATTGTGTCAGCTTTTTAAGTCTTAATAGAGTTTTAATGCCCAGTTGATACTTAAACACATGCTATCATTCACAACGATTTACACACTTGACTTACGGCTTGACTCGATTGTCTGTCTCTATCTTCCTGTCTGCTATTCAATTATCCTTTTTATCTATGCCATCACTTCTCACTGGTCTTATATATACAAAATAGAGGGCGTCTCGAGCCTTCAGGAACATTCTAGATACTCATTACATATTACCAGCGTCACGTGACTTCCACTGTCGTAACAATATGTTTACATTTAACACTGCTTTCTTTAACTGTTATTCTCATAATTCCTGGCTCAAATTTTCTTCTCATTGTCACATTCACCGAGACCTACAGTACTTGGTGCTAGCCTGATATAGTAGTATAAAAAAAGAAAGATTCCTAATTGAATTCTTAGAGAGAAACTTTCGTCAAAAGGAGAGTAATAGTTTGTAGATGGAAAAGCACCACTCATAGTCAGCAGAGTTTGTCACTGTCTTAAAGACAGTGTATGTTTTGGACAGAATAACTGAATTGGTAATCCTGTGTTGAACTGATATCAAGAACTGATCCAAATTGCTGAACACAGATACACAAAGAATATCCTCTCCCTGCCTAAAAAAATACTTGAGCAATAGAATTCTTCATGTAAAACTTGGGATATCATCAAACTTCCGGTTTACCACATTGGAGTACTTTTAGAAGCAGCTTTGTAAAGAGGTGTGCAGAAGTGCATGATTAAACTGTGAATAATGTTGATTTTCATGCCATAGATGGATGTACCAACCAAGAAGGATGAGAAAGTGGTGTTTCCTTTTATTTGCTACATGTTACCACATCAAATCAAATTGAAAATTTTTATCACAAAGAAGATGACATACTAAGTTGGTGTGAATCAGTCATGATGACCTTCAAATTATCCATATATTCATGTGTGCTCAGACCACTTCATAAAAGGTATGTAGTAAAATACATTCATAATAGTATGCTTTTCTAATATTATATACTTACGAACAATTACTTGAAAATTGAAACTGACAAAAAATAAATTACTCTGATGAGACAGTTATACTCATTACATTAGCCTTCGTTTATTATTGGATATACATTGAGTGAATTCTGCCAGTTTTAGGCCTAGGCTGAATCTGACACAATTTTATTCTATTTCAAATGAGAAGTTACATTAAAGTGCATCCTGTTACTTTTATAAACTTTGATTCCTGTCAGACTGCATCCAAATAAGAGAGATTTCTAGTTTCTCTTGATAATTGTAAATTAATGAGTTGACCATCTTATACCCTTTCTTTTGAATTAAAGAGAATAAAATTTTTAACTTTTCACAGAATTTTAAGAATTTAATTTTAAGGGACTTCTACAGCTAAGGAAAGTGATTTCTGTATAATTTCCTTTAAAAAAATATCCTGTATCTTACTATTTTAGCCAACATGCACCCGCCTGCATAGGTTATCTATTTGCATTACATATTGTATTAAATCTGGGCAGAAGGGATTCTTTTGTTTTTACTATAAATACCATTATACATACATGTTGACAATCTCTAAAACTGATGCAAATTGTGAAGAAATATAATTTTTTTAAAATCAAAACTAGGTGACTAGTATCCCTCTTTCAGTGATATCATTCAGGAGATTTGAAAATACTCTTACTATATGACAATTCTTCTGTTACAGATAAACCTTTGGACATTTATTATGATCATGATTGTGCACTACTGTGTTTAAAGCTGAGATATGAAAGCAAGACAGCAGTTGAACCCAGTAGATACATACTGGCAACAAAAAGGGAAAGATTATAAGGCAGCCTCAGCATTATTAGAAGTCTCAAGACCATTAAAGCCAGATGATTCATAGGACAGCAGTAAAGAGGAAAGAATGTAGCTGAAGCCTCTGTGCAGACAGACATACCTAGCATTTTATTTGGTTTTATTCATTGAGAACTCAGTTGACTGACTGCAGAGATCTCTGAGTTAATATTAAATATTATAAGAATCAACATGATATTTAAGAAAAAGTAAAATATTTCACAGGTATACCAAGTTTTAATGTACTACTTGTACTTTTCAACTATGTTGCACCATTTCTTCATGAAGTTCATAATAGTTCCTTGGGTAAGTTTCAACAGTTGATGTTAGTTTTGATGCACTTGAAACTGAATCTTCCCTTCTAGTTTCTTGCTTCCTATTTCTATGTATCATCAGCAACTGCATCTGGATATTTTTTTAAATATACTACATGTCATGTATGTATAAGAATGAAAAATCGTATTTAGTGGCCATACCATGATAACTCCTGCAAATGTCTATGGATTTCTGCAAATGCATTGAATTGAAAAATGCTGTTATTATGAATTGCTTTAAAATTTTTATTGGATGGCTATCAAATTTACTAGCAAGTGCTTAGATGAGGTCCATCAGTAAGTGAAATTCTTAATAGGCATAACTTTACAAAGTGTAATATTATACATGTGACTCAGTAATTCCATTTGATTGAGCCATTTTAGTGTTTATCTTTATCGGACATGTAACTTTTTTGGTAGAACTGTGACAAAGGTACTTTTTTTGAAAAACTGGAACAAACATTTTTTTTTGTATAAAAATATTTTTATTTGTACAAATACATATATATTTCAATAAAAAAAACAGCTGATAATTCACTGTTCATAATATTAAGTTTATTCTAATATTGAAATTATTGGACATAATATTTGGGAATCTAATGGCAATTTCAAATGAGGCAAATTAGACGTATATACATGATTTTGTGTTTTATATATCAAATATTTCTAAACAATGGAGTCGTACTTCATGATACATTTGGGTACAACTTTGAATTCACAACCATTTAATATAACCTGTTGAACTTCATTACCTTGACATAATAAATATGTAAGCTGAAAATAAACATTTATTGCTGTTTTGAGGACTAGAACATGACAAACAGACCCAGAAAGTAAATACTTGAAGAAGAAATAACAAGGAAACTTATTTATAAATTCAGTGTGTATTGGATCAGAAGTTTGGGAGATCCAATACTTAGTTAATGAAAAGTATGAAGAAAAAAACAAAAATTACATCAAACCTGCAGATAGAAAAAAGTATAAAACAGCACAGTATATTTACCATTAGGGATTTTAAATGTCTATCAAACAAATGACTTTAAAACAACTAACATTGCACATGTATAGTACAGACATATAAACACTGTGGTATACTATAGAGTGTGAAAATGGTAAAATCTGTCTTAGAAGAGGTATCTGCAAAATTAATACCCATGGCTGAGGAGATGACATAAATCATTTTTAATATATTTTCACAATATGCACATATAGAATGAATTTAAAAATAAAAATTAGGAAAGGATGAGAGTGAGAAAGCCATTATCACACTTAAACTAACATTCACTGTATGTAGCCAGATGTGAGAGTATTAGTGATTATCATCAATAAAACACAATAGAAATAATTAAAACTCAAATATAACTAAATATTTTATTAAATAGGTTTTTTTAAAGACAGACTACTTGGGATAATAGTAAAATTTTATCCTGAAGTTGGCATTCCAGCTTCTTAATGGTCACATACCTGTATTAATAGCATAAAATCACCTAAGGTCATTAGATTAATATATGTTACAAAAATAAATAAAACTGGAATTACTCCTTAATTTCAGTAGTGCCTGAACAATATGCTATTGTAGTGTGTCTTCAGTTGTATCAAAAAACCTTGAATAAACATCACATTGCACTTTACAATATGCTACACTCTCTAGGTTATTAGCCCATTGCATATATATGAATTTGGATAATAGCATGGAAATATGAGAAACCTGTAACAGTTACTTTTATATTCTGATCTAATTAGCATATATTTGATCAAGAAGTTCTTGGTAAATGCTTGATAATTTATTTAATCACAATTTTTAACAATATTGTATAAAACTATTACTATTATTATTATTTTTAAAATTAGGTACAATGTTATATTTTTTATAAAATAAGTAAAATAACTTGATTAAACTATTGTAAATTATTATAGATTGTTGATATTTTTAGTAAATAAAAAGTTCCTTCCAAAATTTTCTGCAAAATTTCTTCATTTTTGTAAGAAACCTTTGTAATGTGTATTTCAGATTTTTTTAAAAACTGTAATATTTTATTGTTAATGTGCATGCCCATGTGACTTTTTAGTCACAATACTCAAAATTCATATTTTGCTGAGTTTTTAATAGCACATCTATTTCCCTTTATTTCTATTCAAGTTTATCACTATAGTATGACTATCTGGATTGTAACATTTAAAGTTATATATTTTTTTCTTTTTTACTGATATTCTATAAAGTATTAAAGTTCTTTTGTTTATTACTGATTGAGTGTGTCTATTATATTATATACTAGATTTAGAAACAAGATTTAAATCATGCTGAAATTATAGATAAAATGAAACACGATGTTTATCTTAATGCAGTTGTTTAATTACATTAAAATAGATCCTGGGAGAGAGTAAATAATTTGAATATACAATTTAAATTTTTAGTTAGTTTTAGGTGATGTGTAATAAATATTTTGTAAATTTTCGTAAATTTTCGTTTCAAAAACGTTTATGCAAATATTTAATGAATTTGCTTAATTTGGTAAAAATTTTAAATTTGTTATATAAAAAAAATAATAAAAACTTAAATTTTTAATATTCATTCAAACTAACTAACAAAACTTTTTTATTTATCCACAGTGTGTTCGTCATTAATTTTCACAGTGACAGACATTAAAAAACTCTTTGATGGAAAGCAACATGATTGTACAAACATTTATGGAACATTGTTTTGTTTTTTGACCCAAATGGACTTGGATGGTACCTCTTCATATAAGAGTTTTTGCTGGTGACTATTCTATTTACCTATTGTTTGTAATATATCTTTGCTTATGTAGTATTTGTAATATAAATTTAGATATGAAAACCATTTTTCGTGAATGCTGCTTTTACATCTACACATTTTATGCTTGTGTTTTCAAGTCTTTACGTGTAATTTATGTTTTAACTTATGGACTGAGGTAGATATGAAAATGAATACTGTAACTATTTTGATTTTTTAGATAAATATTATTTTTTAAGAAAAATTAAATCTATTTCTAAATCTTAAGTTTACCAAGAATGTTGTAATAAATTTATTGACACTACCATTTTTCCATTAGGAAATACATTATTTTTTGCTTCTATAATCGTACCCTTTTGTTTTGTATGAAATTTAAATTTTGACTGCTTTTTGTTTAGTGGACACTGTAATCGACTGATTCAGCAAAATGGAGACAGATGTATTAATCTAAGCTGTCCAGTGGGAAATGGAAGTGAGGTATCATTACCAGTCCAGCAGTTTGACCTTTCTGTTAGGCTCTCAGATCATAGTGGTTCAATTTGGACAAAAATTCGAGGTGATGTTGTTGAGAAGATGTTCAACTGCTCTGTAAGTGCAAAAACATGAATTAAAGAAGAGATTTATGACACTTTCTTAAATAAGTTCATTTTAAGAAATAATCGGTTTTTTTTAATGGTAAGCGAAACAGGTCTATAGATCCTACTTGAATTGATATATATTTTTAAATACACTGCAGAGTTAAAGATCTGCTAGTAGATACTTTTTGATATCATTGGTGTTTGTATGCAATAAAACATCTTGAAATATACAACTATCTAGGTACTAATGAAATTATAGAAAATGACAAAACAATTTGCTCCTTATGTGTAGGTTTAGGGTCATCTAAGTTTTATATGTAACACTAATAAGCTTGAACTTTAATCTTTATTATGATTTGAAGTTATTTTCATGTAAACTAATCATGAGTAATTAGAAAGAATTAATACAAATGTAGATAATAGAGATTTGAAAATTCCTATTGCAGTTATTTCTACCAATGACCTTTTTTTAGTAATTTACCTAACAACAGATAGAGGTAGTAATCATAATATAGTGTTGTGGGTTATTGAGCTCTTTAGATGCTTTCTCAGAGATTTTTCCTGTAATTCTACTCTCAACCTCACCTGTTTCAAATGACATGGGGCTACTCCACAGTCCTACTCCAGATTTTACTTCTGTCTTTTTATCATTCCCACAAAGATGGACACAAATCTGTCCCACTTGACCCAACTTTGGCCTTTCCTCAGTTCCTGGTGGCAATTTTCTCACTCTCCAGTGGACACTCTCACTGGTGGTAGATAACCAAATTCAATATCTTGGACACTTTTTTCACATCCTGATTTGTCTACCTTTCACTTCCTTTGTGTGCAGTGGTTGAATATTTAGCTTTCAGTCCTTCCCTTGGAGTTGGCTACAGCCCCATCTTTTTTCATTGTGTTGGGTGGGTTTTTATTAAAGGTTACATTCTTGAGGCCTATTATTTCACTACTCTATGAACATTTGGCATCTGTTGACCCCTTCCAACATAGCTTTCTCTATTGTGGCCTAACTTCTTCATGAATCATCTTGTTTAGGGTGGCTGGTTTGGTTCTCTATTTCAATCTCAACTTCTGTCCTATACACTGAGTGGTCACAAGTAAATAGACACCTAATTTTTCGTCATTTAACTGATTTATGCTCACTAATTTGTGTTCACAGAGCACTATATAAATGAAAATGGTCCCCACACTAATTATCTTGTGCTACAACATGCCTAGAACTCAAGGTTCAATCGAATTGTCAGATTTTGTTAGAGGAAAGATAGTTGAACAAGCAGATGGTGGAATAAGTCAGCGGCAAATTTCGCAAAATTTGGGAATCCCACTTTTGACAGTCAACAGAATCATCGTGCAGTTCAGGAAACATGGCAAGGAAACAACTGAACAGCGTCCGAGTTGTCCTGGTCCATCAG